ATATATATATATATATATATATATATATATATATATTGAGATTGTATGTTCGTGTAATTAATTTATGTAAAAATTTTCAGCAATTGTTGTCTTAGTTGTTGTATGTTTTCAGGTATTTCCTGATTGCTCATTGTTACTTGCGGGTAATTTATGAATCTTAACAGTGCAGTTACATGTATTTTTCAAAGCTAATAAATATAAAAGTTCTGTTTGAAGAAGAGAAGTTAAGTTCGTGTTTTTGTTGCACAAGGGGCTTCATTTTCTCGGGAATGGCTCGCTGAGTTGTGTTCCACTATTCTGAAATGATTTTCTTGACAAAGTGAGTGTGTCTTCCGGACCGTAATTGGTATATTTTGTTATTGTTGACGGCACTTTCCTCAGTTATTTGGGCTGTGTTGGTTTTTTTTTAAACTTTAGGAAGCGGTTGGCCACTTTTTGCTTCGCAGCTTGTCAAGGATTTTTCAACGAAATGAAGCGAAAGAAGGTGACAGTCAGAGTGGAAAAAGACGATGGTTTGGGGGCTGCTTCAGGTTTAAAGTCGCTTAAAAAGGATGAGGTGCCGACATCTTTGAGTTTTCCGTATAAGTGGGAAGAGCAACTAAAGAATATAATGAAGATGAGAGAAAGTCGGGACGCTCCAGTTGACACACTTGGCTGTCATATGATTGCAGATGTCCTGGCAGAACCGAAGGTTTATTTTTCATCGCATACTATGTTACGTCTGTAAATAAGATTAGTAGTCGAAGAAGTGACGTTTTTCTTTTGTCACTTTAACCTGCGCTTTAGTTTTTGACACAGGACTGAGTGCCATATCTGTTTGAAGGTTTTTCGATTCCAAACTCTGGTAGGATTGATGCTATCCAGTCAGACAAAGGACCAAGTGACAGCTGCTGCAATGCAGGTAATTGCTTTATTTTTGTAAAAAATAAATATCTGTGGACATTATGTGGCTATTTAATGGACTCTGTAGCCTATTAATTATTTTTGTGCCAATAAATTTTTTATGGAGACTTTATTGTATAAATCATACATTGTTAATTCAGAGGCTTCGTGATCATGGGTGCACTGTAGAAGATATGCTGAAAATACCGCAAGCAGACTTAGAAAAGCTTTTAATCCCTGTCGGGTTTTACAAGGTTTTTCCTTTCAATCTTCGAACTAAAACTCTCAATACGATGTGATCATGCACCTTGTCAAAAGGAATTTTTTTACGTTTTTTTGACATTTAGCGATCTTGGTCAGTTAGTGCATAAAAGTCTCAGCTCTTTTGATATTGCTAGAAGTTTTTTGGTCAGAAGAATGGAAGTGGAAATTAATGGAAGTAATTTGATCATCGGTTCATTTTCTATGTCATCTTCTAGTGTACTGTTATTTTGCACAGTCAGATGTTTAATTTTAATGGAAGTGAATTTCAGCGAAAAGCTGGTTATATTAAAAAAGTAGTGGAGATACTTCATGAAAAGTATGATGATGATATTCCGGAGACAGTAAAGGAACTGTGCGCGTTGCCAGGAGTGGGACCGAAAATGGCTTATTTGGCCGTTCAGTGTGCTTGGGGTAGAATGGAAGGGATTGGGGTTGATACTCATGTTCACCGAATAACAAACAGGCTTGGTTGGGTAAATAAATTTTTTTTTTTGCTTATTTGGTTAAATCCGTTTTTTGTTAATTTTTTGCTTGTTCCAGGTGGATACTAAGAAGCCAGAAGACACGCGTCTAGCCCTTGAAAAATTTCTGCCAAAAGAAAAGTGGAGTGAAATTAACAAAGTTCTGGTAGGGTTTGGCCAACAGACCTGTCTACCGGTATTGCCAAAATGTTCTAGTTGCGCAAACCGGGAACTGTGCCCGAAAATTGGCGTGTCTGTTAAAAACCTGGCCGAAAAATTTTGATCTTTATTTCCAGTGCTTCAAAAGACTTTTTTTTTTCTAGTGCTAGTTTCTTGCATCTCGTACTATTAGCGATTCACTTCACATTTCCTTTACGATATACTTTGTGGTTTCAAATATAATCTCCAATTTGACTACCTCGTGGAATGTTTTTGTCAATTCCTAGATGGAAACATTCTCTAAACCTTAGTATTTAAGCTTTATTCAGTGAGTGTTAATTTTGCATTTGTTAGAGTTGGAAAACAGATTGATAGTTACGCTCTCTGATTTTCTTTTGTTGTGAAAATTATTGGTTTTTTGTTTTAATACATGTAAACAGTCAGTAAAGTTCTCAGGCTTTTAAGAAGAAGACAGCCCAACATTCGGGAAGCACGTTAAAATTGATATTCTCTGCCAAGCATTTTTCTTCTAATTACTTTCAGTTATCTTCTGAGATAAAAATGCTCATGTTTGGTAGTAAAAGTCCACGGTAGGAAACTAACCGGAAGGCTTAGTAAGTAGGTGGTATCGTTGCAATTTGCTTCAAATTTACCGCTTGTTTTTTACAGCAGTTGTTTTCAGGTTAGGCCGTGGATAACAACTGTGTCCATCCTCTTTCCGCTATTCTTTTGCATGCTATGGAAAATATATCATTTATTGGACTGATTTTTTTTTAACTTTTTTGTCAGTTTTACAGTTATTAGACAACAAAGTAACATTTGACATTCATTGATTTATCGTTAATGACACCTGAAGACGCTAAAGCTAATCCGAACTGTTGGCATGGTGCTGGAAAGGTTAACTTTATATTAATAGGCAGATGTCTGCTGTTTGGCGGTGAGGAGACGCCATGATTCAATGAAACGTGACCGTTCATTGGAATCTCACGTGGTCACAGGCCGGTTCATTAGTGATGCTTCATCTGCATTCTCTGCCACAGGAAGTTCTTTTACAAAGGAAGAAAAGCGGTAAAGTACTTTTGAATTCCAAAGCGATAGGGTTTGGATTTTCCTGGTCAAATCCGATCATTGATAACTGATGAAATTTGGTAGCTACATGTCAAGCCTCAGCTTTAAAAAATTAATGCACAGAGTAAGTCTCTTTTCTGACTGGGTTGTTCCTTCAATCATTCGCATTAAAGTGGAGGAAGGAAATCCAAAGAAAAAAGGAGAGGAAGAAGAAAAAGTAGTACGTTCATCCTAACAGGTTTTAGCACCAAATTACATTAAATCTACCTACAAAGAAAAAAAAGACGTTGAATTATGGGGGAATGATATGATTTGGTAAAACCTCGGTGAAACAACGACAATTGCACTAAGTTCTCGTTTTTATAGCTTCCTCTTCGTCCCTAAGAACAAAAAAAAAAAATGGGAGTAAAAACAGGGAAGTAGAAAGGGTACTGTATGAGGAAAACTTAAGTTATAAAACAGTAAACAGAGGAGAAAAGAATTAAGCAAACTTCTTGTGGTTTGGAGAGGCGTGGCGAGAGAGGAGAAAAAGTTTGGCTTTAAATGTTGCATTTACTCCTCTCGGACAGTTCAAGTGATGTGTTTCAACACCAAAGTCCCACGGAACTGATAAAGGGAAGTTTTTGGGAAATACACACTTTTTGAAATTCTGAAAATCAAATTTTTTTCAGTTTTTTTTCATGGACTCGCAGACAGACGCTATTCTACTTGGGAGTGCACTGCGCTAAACAAGCGTTTTTCTGATCACCAACCTTACTTCACTATTTGTTCGCCGGGTTTCTGATACCGCCTAATTCATCCGTGATTGTTTTAGAATTACCCTTTTAGTTATTGCTAACTTCCTAACGGTTTAATGCTAAAATGTTGTAGTCATTTTGCCGCCTAATAACGGCACTTCCATATTATTATATGGTGGAACGGTTGACGCTTGCATTTGGTGACCACGATTTTTGGAGTCAGGAGAGGGTTCATATCAACGCCCCGTGCACTCACATTTCTCGACTACTTTCAGGTCTGCCCAAAAATGCTTAATCACAGTGTTTTAACTGGATACATACGGCTCAGCAGACGGTATTAAGTGGGTTTATGTTCTGCAAGTGTCTAACTCTGCTCTTCTGCTTTTACCACTCTATAAACCTCCGCTTCTCATTGTGGTAAAGATAAAAACTGTATTGTAGGATCTAGACAGCCACCACACTTCCGCAATTTTTGTTTTAACCATCTTCTGTTTTCGGTTACTTTGTTTTAACTGTATTGCTTCTGTCGTTGTCTGTAGTTACCCCCCTCATTTTGTTGAGAAGTTTCTCTTAAAATTTATTTTTCTACATTTTGACTTTCTCGAATTAGGAAGTAGCTAGAGAGGTTTGTAAAGCATTAAAAGTATACTTAGATATATCTAAATCATAAACTTAGTGGGTGCTATCTGTTCTATGCTGACAACTAAAACGCCGTGATTAAGTATTTTTGGGCAGACCAGAAAATGATGAAAAAACCTGAGTAAATGAGCTGCATGGAGGGTGGATTTGAACTCCTTCCGGATTCTTAGAACTGCGGTTGCAAGACGCGAGATTAACCATTATACCACTTGGTGAAACTGATGTGGCTTTATAAAGTGGCAAAAAAATTACAGCAAAATTTTAGCGGTAGATCGTTAGGAAGTTAGCAAGAATCAAATGGACAGGTCTGAAATTGTCGCAGATGAATTAGGCTGTAGCAAAAACCTCTTGTACAAATCGTGAAGTAAGGTTGACGGTCAAAAAAAGCGTGTTTGGCAATGGGCATTCGCAACTGCAACAGTGTCTATAGCTTTGACCTTCTGTTTTTTTAGAGCTTAGTATCCTTCTAAACTCGTTAAAAGTTTCAAACTTTCAGGCATATCTGATGTCAAATCTTCTATTGTGTGGCTTACAAAAAAACGTTTCGATTTACAGATTTTGGAAATTAAAGATTATATATGTGACCAAACAGCAATTTATTCGTTGTCTTTCTCCAAATGTGTGCTAATTTGAAGTTTTACTGGTTGACACAGTCGCTTTAACTTTGGGATTCCAATTTCTTTTGAGGGTGCTACGTTTTTCAGGTGTATAAATCATCAACAGCAAAATTTTGGCGAGCGACAAGGCATAGTAATTGTTGAAAAATCATTTCTCGAAAGATGCTTACCAAAATGTGTCGCCTTAGTTGTTATTTTTTCGCCATTATGAAGAGGCGCAGTTTTTTTTACCGACTTTGCTGGTCTGTGCGACAGCGGGAGTGTTTGGGCATATCTATCAAAACTCGTTGTTTTTAATAATTCTGGAGTCATCCATTGTGTGTGTTTATGAATTTTTGTACTTTTTATATTGGTTGAAAAATTTGGGAGGAAAAATTACAGTTTTCTAACTGGATATAAATTACGTACACAACCTGAAAAAGAACAACAGTTTAAGTATGTCATTAGTTGTTTATTATTAAAACCATTATTACTGTGGAAAAAAAAGTGGTGATTTTTGGACAGCAGAAGTTACAATGCATTTTTATAGGAACAAGAAGTATTTAGGAACAAAATATATTTTAGTCTTGTTACAAAAGAGTACGTTTTTTCTTTCTTTTACTTTGTTTCTTTTTTTGCTCAGCAAAAATGTACACTGTGTAGAAGCACTTTTTGATTGGTTCTTAAAAAATTAATAAATTTGTCAGTGTTTTGAAGGGGAGGTAACTTAGAGATTGTTTTTCAAAAAAAACGAAAAGAAAAACAGTGTTTCAGCTTTTTGCACATTACTTACATTGTGTAATCTTGGGGCTCTTACGTCTACCACGGACACATTTAAAATAAAGCATGCTTTTTTCATGTTGCATGCTATAAACCACGGAGAAGTTTCCAAATAAGAATATGGGAAATAAGTTTTTTTTTTCTAGAAGGATTGGCGTTGGCGTTGCTGCCGATATATATATATATAT